TGCGCTCCGACCCATCAGTAAGCTATGCACTAAGATAACACCTGCTTTAAACCTTCAAGAGTATCCCCAGGCCTAAGATTACAGAGTGATCTTGGGACCACATGCCTCAAAAATCAACAGAGGTGCCTGTTATCACTGTAAGTCGTCAGCCCCTCCAGATCTACTACAGTTCTCTGTGTTTTACGACAAGTTTCCAGTGATTTTTATGTACATTAAAATTTATTTTAATTGATTCATTTGTAAAATAATTACAATATCTACTTTCCCAGGGTTCGTGCAACACTTATTTTTATTTTTCACTGAACAAAGATTATTTAGATGCGTAATAACAAACATTGTTTGGTAGTGCATTCAACAAATACTGACTGAGGCATGTTACTACTGAGCAGTGTATGACAGCTGTGGGGAAAATGCTGAACAGACAACGTTCCTGTCTTTGTGATTCTTACACTGGAGGAGATAGGAAAACAAATAAGTGAGACGCTGTCACACAGTGAGAAGCACAAGGAAGAAAAAGCAAGACAGAGACAGTTAATGCACAGCTCCTGCCCTCAAGGAGCTCACATTTTAGCAAAGAGGTAAGTGAGAATGAAGGATGGCATGCTGTAGTAAACAAAGTTTGCTCGAGCATCATGCTTTCTATTTTATGAGGTGCTACTGGCATCTAGTGAGTAGAGAGGCCAAGGATGTTGCTAAACATCCCTACTATTCACAGGACAGTTTCCTACAACAGACAACCACCCAGCCCCAAATGTCAACAATGCCCAGTCTGAGAAACCCTGCTGTGGGGAAAGCTATTATCTTTGAGGTAACACAAAAGGGTCTTCACAAGATGAAAAGGCATTCTTTAGGCATATTCCAGGGGTATGGGGAGTTAGGGGGAGAGCACTCCAGGCAGACACAGCAGTATAAGAAAAGGCATGAGGTTAAGCAACACTTTCATTCATTCATTCAATACTAAGAGCTTTCTATATATGCTAGGCTCTAGAGACTGAATGATGAAAAGGAAAGATACAGTCTGTGGGCCTTGCTCTGTGGGGCTTTCATCCTGGTAGGGTGAACAAACAAACAGAAAAATACAACACTGTCTTATAAATATTAAGAAAGGTACTTGTCAGCCAGGTGTGGTGGCTCATACCTGTAATTCTAGCACTCTGGGAGGCTGAGATGGGAGGATCGCTTAAGGTCAGGAGTTTGAGACCAGCCTGAGAAAAAGTGAGACCCCATTTCTACTAAAAATAGAATTCTAACTCAGCTGAGCATGGTGGTGTGCACCCTATGGTCCCAACTACTCAGGAGGCTGAGGCAGGAGGATCGCTTGAGCCCAGGAGTTTGAGGTTGCAGTGAGCTATGATGATACCCACTGCATTCTACCTGGGGCAACAGAGTAAGACTGTTTCAAAAAGAAAAAAAAAAAAGGTGCCATGGCATCCAAGTTTGACATTGGGCAGGCTATCTCAGAGGTCACCCAACAGAAAGGCTTAAGATCAAATGAAGGCTCAAATCACATAGTTATTAAGTAAACAAACAAACAAACAAACAAACAAACAAAAAACATAGTGAGAAGCACAGGAACAAGATGAGGTAGGAAAGAGACAGGGTAGGTGGCAAGAAGGTGGAGAGGCCACATCCTGAGTCCTTGGCTGTACAATTTGCACATGCTTCTCTCTGTTGCCTCAGACTTCCTGCTGACCACTCTTCTTTTTCATCTGCAACAATGGTTCTTACTTGGGTACCATTCTGTCCCCAAGTGTCCCACAGGGAACACTGTGTGGGGACATTTTGATTGTCACAATTTGGGGAAGATCCTTCTGGCATCTGGTAGATAGAGCAGGAGATGCTGCTAAATATCCTACAATACCCACGACAATCCCCTAAACCTGGATAAAATGTCAATAGTGCAAAGGTGGAGGAGCCCTGGTCTCTAAGCAACACTTTTATTTGTTTATGCTTTATACCTTACTTTCTATGTTTAATGTATCTTATGAATTCTATGTCTCACAAGCTAAACACTACTCATAATCTATACCTAACACATTCTATTTGTTTTCTAGTTTTCTACAGCAGAAATTGACTATTCCCCTATAACACAGCAAAAGTGCATTATAGTGCTACAGAAACACACCCAAAGAGTGCCTACTTGAGACTCTGTGGGTGAGACAGAGTATAAGGATGGGCTTCTAGAAGAAAATGAGATTTAGGCTGAGGCCAAAAAGCATGAGTGGGAGTAGGCAGGTGAAGTAGGGAAGCTTATTCTAAGCAGAGGCCAAACAGGCAGGAGACATGGGCTGGCCTGGAGCACCAAGAGAGAGGCCCAGTCAGGAGCTGACTCCAAGGAAGAATGACGGGTCAGCTCACAGGGCTGACCAGAGATGGGCGTCATCCTGTGACAGCCACTGGTGGATTTTAAGTCAGAGGGGGACATTCAGAATTATTGTGTGGCTGTGGCATGAAATACAGCTTCAAGGGGACATATTTGAGACCCCAACTTAAAAAGCCTCAAGTGGAACACTCACAGTTGTCTGCCCCCAGCTCCAAACCCTCCTCCCATCGCCTCCCTCAGTGGAGTCATGACTTACCCACTCGGTCACTTGAGGGGGAAGCATGCCCCAAGCCTTGACTGCTTCATAGTTTTCACTGCCCCATCGCAGTGGCCTCCCCATACCTCCCCAATCTTCCTCCTGCCTCTCTTAGGACATCTTCCAAACTGAAAGGGATGTAACATTTTTAAAAGAGCAAGTGGCTATCACCACTGCTTAGAAGGCTTTTGATGTTTCCTACTGCATTAAGAATAAAATCCAGGTCTCCCAACCCTACCAGGGGCTGTCTCCCTCTCCTGCCCCAGCCTTTGGCCATGCTGGCCAAGTTCCCTGCTGCAGTAGGGCCTCTGAACTTGTTGCTTCCCTTGGGCTGGAATGTACTTCTTTCTCTTTTCTCATTCTTTCTATTTGTTTACATCTTAGAGATTCTTTTTTAGACTACTTCCGCTCCCTCTCTGCCCACTGTTTTCGTTCTAACTGATGACTTGCTTTTTAAGCCTTTTCGCTCTTCTCTCCCCAACTAGAACATAAGCTCCATGAGAGTGGGAGCTGCGTCTGTCTTATTCACTCTTGTGGTTTTAGAGCCCAGCACAGGGCTGGTATGTAAGAGGCGCTCCATAGATATGTGTGGAGGGCGCAGCTGAGAAACGGTGATGTGGTCCAGGCAAGATGTGCATGTGGCTGCACATGAACAATAAGGGACAACAGAAGAGAAATTCAAAAGATACTTAAGGATTAGAACTAATAGGATGTGGTGACTTTGCAAATGAGTGGGAAGGTACAGAAAGGACATTTCAGGTTCTACCTTGGGCTGGGGGGGGGGGCTGGGGAAAAGGCACAGAAAACCCAAAAGGGAAGTCAAGTTTGGTGAAGAACAATTACAAATTTAGTTTTGGACATGCTGACTTTGATGTGCTGATAAGACAGCCAAATAAGTGACCAGAAGGCAAATAACTAAATCAAAGACAGGGGTCAACTCATCTTAAACCAGTATTGTTTTGACCTTGAAACCAACAATGACAATAAATAAATCATTCTCATATAAGGCTGAGGCAGGAGAATTGCTTGAGCCCAGGAGTTGGAGGCTGCAGTGAGCTATGATGATGCCACTGCCCAAGCCTGGGCAACAGAGCAAGACTCTGTCACAAACAAACAAACACACACCAATAAAAAAAACTATTTGGGAAAAACCCAGGAAGTCATGAACAAACTCTGGGTATGCCCTTCTTCTGATGTCATGTGGGCTTAAAGCAACTCTAAGTGTAATCCCTGTGGGACAGTTTATCCAAATATACAAATGGATTATGAACATAATTTGGAAACTATCTGGAGTGCTAGAAATTTCCTACATACAGAGTATGGGTTACACGGGCTTGTATGCATCAAAACTCATCCAACTATGTACTTAAGACCTGTTTAGTTCACTGTATGCGAAGAACCTCAATAAAAAGAAAAAGCCATCAACTACTGAACATCTTGAGCCTTGCTAGTGTGACCTATTTCCAAGTTCCGTGTGTGCACTAAGATGTCAGCCCCAACACATCCGGTAGTGAGTGCAACTTTCACATGTTCATAAATTCTGCCGAATCAGTCTGAAACATTACTTGTTGATTTAAATGTTTCTGTGCCTATAAGACTTGAAGTAATTTAAGAAACAGAGGTTGTATTCTACCCTTGTTGGTATCTAGTCCCTTAACCTAGTATTTAACACAAAGTTGGCATCAGTGAATACTTATCAAATCAAAGCCCAAGGGACCGGTAAAGTTACTGCCTTCAGATTCTGTGGAAACAATAGGATTGCAGGCTCCTCTGAGCCACATTTCTTTTCAGGCTATTTCAGGAAGACTGAAATAGCTAGTCAGGGTCCAAGGAGAATGGGGAGTGGGTTCTCACAGGCCCTTGTTCTGAGGCTAAGGGCACAGAAGTGCCTGGTAGCAGGGGCCCTGAGTTCAAAAGGACCTTTGTGTCAAATTACACAGAGACTGCTCTGTCCCCCCACTTCCTCTCTGTCCCCAAGGGACTTCTGAATGGGGTTGTTGACAAGAGCTGCATGAAGGAAGAAATTTCCCATCCATAAGTCCAGACACATCCAGTGCCCATCTGTCAAGAATGCCATGAAGGCAAAATTTTGCTGTCTTGTTACACATTCTGCAGTAGCAAAATACAACATTTTAAGTGAAAGCTGACACTTAAGTGGAAGTTGTTTCTGTGTAAACAACATAGAAATCCAAAACCCAAAGAAATGCTCACATCTCTGAGCCCATAATGTTACTACTAAAATCTTAGAAATTTATCCCTAAAAAATAATCAAGAAAATAACCCCTTCTTGCAAGTTTTAGGGACCAATGTAAAACTAACTCTCCTGCTTTGGAAAATATGAAATTTTACAATTTTTTTTGCAACAGAGTCGAGTCTAACAGGGTTTACAAAGTAGAAGAAACCTTTCTGAAACACAATTACCAAAAATCTCTCTTCTTTTTCCAGCCAGCGCTGATCTTCTTCCATTTCCTGCTGTTGTCGGATCAGCCGCTCTTCCATCAGGTGGGTTGGCAACACCTGCCCGATCCCTCGCAGGTCCAATGCTGCGGAGTCCTGGAAGAAGGGTTGAAAACACCATGTCCAGTCTTCTGAGTATAGTTAAAAGCTCTTACTTTGTTTTATGTGTCTTTCAAAACAGTTAAGCACGATAGCAAGGGTAATAGAAAGAAAGCCTCTCATACTATGCTTGTGGGAGTAACTTTTCTGGAGGTTGCAGTTTCATGTGTGTCCAGAATCTTTAAAAAGTATACAATTGTTTAACTCATACATTCACTTGTAGAGGGGCTTTCCTAAAGAAACAATCCAAGATATGTGCAAAAAGTGCAGTTACTTATAGTAAAAAGAAATAATTCGGGGTCTGCACAGTGGCTCACATCTTTAATCCCAGCACTTTGGGAGGTTGAGGTAGGAGGAGCACTTGAGTTCAGGAGTTTGAGACCTGCCTAGACAACGAGAAAGACTCTGTCTCTACAAAAAATAAAAAAATTAGCCAGGCATGATAGTTGAAGTGTACAGTCCCAGCTACAAGGGAGAATAAAGTGGGAGGATGTTTGAGCCCAGGAGTTTGAGGCTGCAAGAACTGTGATCAGGCCACTGTACTTCATAGCTGGGTGACAGAGGGAAAATTTGTCTCTTAAAAATAAATAATAAAAAAAAAAAAATTGGGAAGTTTGCTGGGCATGGTGGCTCACACCTGTAATCCTAGCCCTCTGGGAGGCTGAAGTGTGAGCAATGCTTGAAGTCAGGAGTTTGAGACTGAGCAAGAGTAAGAACCCCATCTCTACTAAAAATAGAAAAAATTAGCTGGGCATGGTGGCACATGTCTGTAGTCTCAGCTACTTGGGAGGCTGAGGAAGGAGGATCACTTGAGCCCAGGAGTTTGAGGTTGCTGTGAGCTAGGCTGACACCATGGCACTCTAGTCCGGGCAACAGAGCAAGACTCTGTCTCAAAAAAAAAAAAAAAAAAAAAATGGAAAGTAAAATTAAATTAGAGGTTTAAATATGGTACATATTATGAGATTATGGAGTAAACAGCCATTAAACAGGTTTACTCCAAGGAGTAGCAAACAACTATAGATGCTCTTTGAGGCAGGCAAACAATTTCTAATACTGTAGCAGTGGTTCTTGGTTTTATCAGGAAAATTTAGTAAAAATTAACATGGTCCACAGAACTGCAGGCTCTTTCTGTTTATTCCTTGGCCTCATGAATATGCTAATTATACTCAACTTAGGGATCAGCCTTTCAAATAAATGGACTAATGATTGCTGTATTTCTCCTTGGGTATTTCTTTTAGTAAAAAAAAATTCACAAAGCCAAAAAGCATTTGAGTAGATGGAATATCTTGATTTCAGAATTGAGTCATCAAAATCAAGAAATTTTGAGATTTAGAAATAAAAGGTATCTTAAGCCATGCTTCATAAATTAACAAACTGAAGCACAAGAACATGCAATTTACCTCCATGCTGGGTTGCCACATTGATATCTCCTGAGGTCTATGATTCCAAGACTCTGTTTGGTCCAAAAGAGATGCTTGACCTGGGTAGATGCTGCCAGCCATGGCTGTGATTCCATGTGAACCAGGGTAGCCAGAGACCTGTGAATGAGTCAGGAGGCAAGTAAATGTTCTGCCACAGTTCAACTTCTGCACAGTTCTGCCTTACAAAGGTCAGGAAGGAACTCAAATTGCAGAGAATATTATGGTTGGCAGAATAATGGGTCCCCCTAAGATGTCCATATTCTAATCCCTTGAACATGTGACTATGTTCCTTTACATGATAAAAGAGACATGTGACTATAAATCAAGGACCTTTAGATGGGAAGACTACCCTGGATTATCTGAGTGGGTTCAATATAATCATAGGTTCCTCAAAGTGCAAGAGGGAAGCAGAAGAGGACAGAGAGGGAAATGTGACCACTGAGGAATGGTCAGAGACCCTAACACTTCTGGCTTTGAACATGGAGTAAGGGAACTATGAGCCAAGAGGTGCAGGTGGCACAGAATCTGGTAAGGCAAGCAAATGGATCTTCAACTAAAGCCTCAAGAAAGGTAATTTGTTATGGCTGCATTAGACAACTAATTCAAATGTGTACTAAAAAATAAGAAATTATTTACTTTGCAATTTTCACTTATCAGGATGCTGACAGCAGACCATCCCTGGATGCAGAGGCAATAGGAAGACACAAAAATGGCTGAGCCATGCTCTGCTTTAGAACTCCCCTTTCTTGACCAACCTACCACCCCTCAACAAGAACAACAAAAAAACAAAACAAAAACAACCAAAACCCACAGAGAACCCCAAATATTTGTCCTCTAGTGAATGAGGGGCAGATAGAGGAAGAAGTCATACCTTCAAGTTCTAACAATGATGACTAAGGCAAAGAGCAGACATTTGGTTGGATGTGAAGAAAAATTTCAAGCCAGAAGGAAAATAAGAGGGTTTCTTTATGTGGTTCCTTCTCTCAATCAAGAGAAAGAAAGCAGAATCAGTATTTGTTTCCACAGCTCCTTAGTCTAGTAATTGTATGGCTGGGGTTATTGGTTAATGAGATAAAGCACAGAGAAATCCATATTTCTAAATATCAACACACCCTTCAACCAGGGTTTCATGTATTTTTTAGGTTTCTAGACATTAATTTATACCAAAGTTCCATATGGACAACATGAAATCAATAAATTTTCAAGTATGGTATACAGGTAGTTCTCATATTCTCACAGTTTATTTGAATGGAAATATCTTAGTAATAAAATGTACTACATACAAAATGCTCTATCACTACTATTTTGGGGGGGAAAGGGATGTATTACTGCCAGAAAGCTTTTAGGAATTTTCACAACAAAGAGGTTTCATATGATCTAAGGCAGTTTTCTAAATAATACCAACCATGTGAAAGGATCAGTGTGTACTTTAGGCTATAAAGGAACATGAAACAACACCAGGAAATGTCTTATAGCTGGTCTTATTTACAAAAGAGGAAAATTTTGGGCTTGGGAGTTATACAGTTGTTCAATGAAAAAAAAGTGTGTTTTACTATATTCTCTACTCATTTCTACAAACGTAAAGAGAAATCCCTATTCTCAGGTGCTTTTATAGCAGTGGTGATAGACAGCCACCAACATCAGTATTAGAGCCCCAAGTTGTGCCACTAGGCCACCCCACAGGTCTGTCAGGACACAAAGAGTACTTGCTCTGCTAACAGGCTGTCTCACTAAGCAGGTGCTACCATGTTTTCTCTAGACAATGCCAATAATCATTCCGCTCAGGGTCCTTCTGCTGTTTGCTAGAACTCAGAGTATCTTAGCAATCACAGATGTGGGGTTTCTTTCCTTAGGCCACTACATCCTCTGACTGCTCTGACCACTGTCCTGGATTAGGGTTCTGGTTCCTTCAAGCATGGAGTTGGTAATCTAGACTGACCAAGATGGAAAGGGCCTGTGAGCTCCTCCCAGAAGTAAAGGGAATACTTATTCATCTCCAGGTTCCCAATGCCTAGAAGAGTGCTGGGCACAGAGTAGAGGGACATTCAGTGTCATCTTGCTTAATGAACAGATGCACTAGAGACCTTAAACGATTCACTTCCCTTCCTCCAGACAAGTATCTCAAACAGTATTGCCCAGAACATGGATCTGAGTCATCTACCCCAGAACCACCTGGGACTACTTGCTAACAATGTGATATTCTTCGGCGTCTCTGCAGAGTAAGTATATTAGAATCTGAAGGCAGTAAAGAGACTGAAATTTACCCAGTTTCACTGTTCTAAGCTACCACAGCCACATGGTCTTGTCTTTTCTAATAAGAAACAGGTCCTACATTCATCTTTGTTACCCTAGTACCAATAGTTAAGAATTTTTGCCCACATTGACCCAAAAGAGCCTTAATTTAAACCCTGTTCTCAATAACTCTGTGAAGACGGAAGGAAAGAAAAAGTACTGATCCTCTTGACAGGATTTTGACTCTCACAGACATTACAATGAGTAAAAAAACCTGAAACCAAAAAAGCATATACTATATGATTCTATTTATATAAAATTCTACAACAAGGATAAAGAATCTCTGGTACTAGAAATCAGAAGAGTGGCTGCTTCTGAGGCAGTAAGTGACTTATGGAAAGGGACACAAGGGAACTTCTTGGGGTTACAGAAATGTTCTCCATCCTGACACGGGATGGAATACATTTGTGTGTGCTCTGTTCAAAGCTAAGACCTGTGTGTTTCACTGTAAGTAAATTATACCTCAATAAAAGCTAATACCATTTTCTCAAAAATAAAAACAAACAAAATTATTTCCTTTGCTTTAGATCCCTTTCTTTCAAGAATAATCTTTTCTAGTTTATATAGCTATTTGTCTATCAGTCTAACACTCTTTCTACACTTGCCCATACTGGCATATCATTTGGTTTCTGTTAAGCAATTTTGAATTTTACTCTTGCCTTCCAGCAAAGCTGCCCAGTTCAGCATTACCTCTGCATAGTGTATGTCCACTGGATTCACTTTGCCCTTCCTTTATTACAAGAACAAGCAGAAGACAAAGGGTCTAAGAACTGTTGGAGGAACTTGTCCCACCTACTATAAGACTAAGTAAATAATGAATGCCTCCTGCATGGGGTGTCAAGACAACACTCACTCAGATAACAATTAGGGCGACCACTTTCTTAGCTTTCTACTAGCTAAATCATACTCATAAATACACAATAATAATAAAAAAAGAAACATATATAATGTACTTCCCTACCCCAAAAAGGCTGAAGAATCAAATAACAAATTTTGTATCTGTAATGACTAGTATACCTGGTAATGATTGGTCTGTACCATGTGCTGTGGGCTTGGATAAAATCCTTCGCTGGACCGTGGGCTGGGATAACCAGGTCTGCTGGGCTGTGAACAAATCAACAGAGCATTATATAAACAAATCTTTTGATTGTGATAAATCTATGTTTTACGAAAAGAATAGAAAAAGATTATTTCTCTAATAGATAGAGCTTAGTTGAAAAGAATGATAAAAGAGTGCTAAGACATTTCAATGGGGAAGGAATACTCTTTTCAATAAAAGATGCTTTGACATCTGGATAGCCACATGTGAAAAAATGAAGTTTGACCTCTTCCTTAAAACATACACAAAAATTAACTCAAAATGGATCACAGACCTAAATGTAAAAAGCTAAAAACCCTAAAATTATTAGAAGGAAACATAAAAGTAAATCTTTATGACCTTGGGTGAGGCAATGTTTTCTTAGCTCTGATACCAACAACACAATTGATAGAAGAGAAAAACAGACATACTGGACTTCACCAAAATTAGCAACTTTGATGTTGCAAACAATACCATCAAGAAAGTAAAAAGACAACCTAAAGAATGGAAGAAAACACTTGCAAATACTTATCTGATAAGAGATTCATATCCAGAATATATAAAGAATTCTTGTAAGTCAACAATGACAAATAATCCAATTAACACACTAACTACCATGTGAGTTGTATTTAACTCACGCTGGTTTTGAGCTGGGGGCCTTGTGAAGTATATATAACTCACAGGTCTCTTTACCTTGAAAGCTGCATGACATGCAGGCAACTCATGCTGCCGTGCTGTAGCACACATGGTACATGATGGGTGGCCCCCTGGGCAAAACCCTGTAGTTGGTTCGTGAAAATCTTACTTGTTGATGTTCTTATTGTTACAATTAATATTGACAATTTAATTCTAAAAACATGGATTAAATGAACAGAAGTCAATAAATTTCATTTTTCTATTTATGTTTACCTTTAAATTACACTTAAGCATGACAAGAAAAATGCTTTATTTTTATGAACTATTTTTCAAGTTTTCATATTACTAATTTTTAAGTTTTTATATTAATTTTTTATTGAAAGAAACACAGAAAACAATAAAAACAACCATTTTTTCATTAAATTAGAAAGGATCATTTTGTTTTCCAAGTTTTTATTCCACTTTTGTAGTAAAATACTGTGGCCCTAAGGAAAAAAATTTTTTTTCTAGTGTGGCAGTCAATGTGCTAAAAAGTGGACAAAGGACTTGAGTAGACCCAAAGAAAAACAAATGGCCAGAAAGCACATTTTGAAAAGATGCTCAATACCACTCAGCATCAGGGAAATGTAAATCAAAACCATAGTAAGCTACTGTTTTACAACCAGTAGGACAGTTATAATAAAAAGAGAAAATATAATAAAAAGTGCCAACAAGGATGTGGAGCAACTGGAACCCCTGTGCATCCCTGGTGGGAATATAAAATGGGGCAGTCACTGTGGAAGATGGTATGGATATTCCTTAGAAATTTAAACATAGAATTTACTATATGATCCAGCAATTGCATTTTCAGTCATATACTCCAGAGAAATGAAAACATACGTCCACACAAAAAGATGTACATGAACTACGTGGGAGGCTAAGGTGGGAGAACACCTGAACCCAGAAGTACAAGGCTAGCCTGGGCAACACAGTGAGATCCCATCTCTAAAAGCATAAAAACTAAAACCATGTACATGAACATTCTTCATAGCATTATTCATAATAGCTAAAAAGTGGGAACAATCCATGTCCATCAGCTGATGAATGGATAAACAAAATTGAGTAAACTCATAAATGAATTATTATTTGGTAATTAAAAGGAAATGAAGTACTGACACATGCTACTACATGGATAAACTCTGAAAATATTATAAGTGAAAAAAGCCAGTCACAAAGAACCATATACTATATGATCCATTTACGAAATGTCCAGAAGAGGGAAAAATCAAAAGAGACAGATGATAGATGAGAGGTTGCCAGGGATCAGAAGGAAGAGAGAAAGGGGGAGGACTGCTAATGGGTGCAGGGTTTCATTTTGGGGTGATAAAAATGTTCTAAAATTGATTGTGGTGGTGGTTAGACAACTCTCTGAATACACTAAAAATGTTGAACTGCACACTTTAAATGTGTAAATTGTATGGAATGCAAGTTGTACTTCAATAAAGCTATTAAACTTTCATCAATAACAAAAAGGGATGCTAAACACGCTGGGCCTGAGAGACTTGAGTGACCTCTTATCCAGAGAGCTGGGATCTGGAAGTGGGCACTTGTTCTGCTCTGCTACTTCCTGGTTGTGCAGTCATGGTCCTGTAATTATACTGACTGCCTTCTATTTCCTCACCCACGAAATGGGTATTGAGGTAGAAGAGCTCTAGAGTCACTTACAGCTTTAAAATTCTCATTTTGTTTGTGGGTTAAATGAATTCAAATTTCATAGCAAAAGAATGACTTAGTCTGAACTAGAAGGCTAAAAGAAAAGTTAATAAATGGCTTCTAAAACTTAAGGGTTTTAACAAGGCAGAAACCAATTTTTTTTCCAGCCAAGTTAAGACCAGAAAAAAAGGAAATAGATTTAAGTCCCACCAGGCATAAGGGAGTAAAGCAAACTCCTCAGTGCCTGTGTCTCTTTCCCATGGTCCTGGACAAACACATGCTCTGCTCTAGTTCAGTCCACAGTATGTTAGGGTCTCTAAAATTAGTCTCATTTCCCCACAGCTTTGCTTATACTGTCCCCTCTGCATGGAATGTCTCCTCCCTCAATCTGCAGAGCACTTCATACCCCGTCAGTCTTCCAAATGTTACTTCTTTCACAGAGAAGCTCCTGCTGATTTCGCCAGTGTTAAACACAAGCCCTCTGCTCTTCTCCATAGGTCTTTTTCAAATCCTGACGTAGGTTGCAGGTGCCCCTGTACTTGCTCTAGCTCTGCTATTATGAGCCATTAAATTCCTGAGGGCAGGAAATCCTTCCTTATCCCTTAGCTCTGTCACATTTCAACAGTGTCCTAGTACTCTAAACTAAGTATGAGCATGAATTCCTCAAAGACTCCCAAAACAGGAAAGGGGTTGTTGTTCTAAGCTTTTCTCTACTGTGCACTAGGGCAGCAATTTCCAAAGTGTGTTCCATGTAGCCCAAGGGACTACCCTCCAGACCTATGTTTTTTAAAGGTTTAATTTGAAAAAGTGGTTGTGCTGAGTTAACAGGGGTTAAAAAGAGTCTGACTACCTCTGTACTCTGACATTTAAGTGGCAACAGCTGTTTTAAAGGTGAGTGTTACTATGTAAGCCTTAATAATGGTTGTATGGGAATGGTTTCCTGGAGCAAGTGCTCTTGGAGCCCAAGACTGAAAAGATCCAGAGCCAAAAATTAGGGCACTAAACAGAGCTGACAGCTATGCAGTTACATCCCTGACTCACATTTGTTAGTGTAAGTAACACGGGTAAAAATAAAAACGATTGCCATTTATTCATCCTGTGTACAGCAACTACATACTTAACATACAATTTGATAATTTTAACAACAATGCTATGAAGCAATATTACTGCCCCCATTTTACAGAAGCTCAGAGAAATCAGGCAATTTAAATACAGCAGGTAATGGCAGAACTGCCTGACTCCAAAATCTGCTTTGCCATGATGCTATTCTATGACAAGTGCACTTTTTTAAAATTAATTTTTTTTATTTCAGCATATTATGGGGGTACAAATATTTAGGTTATGTGTGTTGCCTTCCCCCCCTTGACAAGTGCACTTTTGACTCACCGAATAAAAATGAACATATAAAAGAAAAAGATCAGAAAATGATAAAAGCTGTATAAAGTATTTTACAGTTACTCAAATACTTAAAAGGTAGCAAATGATAAAACAAGCTTTCATTTCAAAATAAAAATAACAGGTAAAAAGAAGAAAATGTTTTACAACAGACAAAATAATTGCACAAAGGACACCACAAAATCAAATTTTGCTAACCACCAGCCATGGTCAACGCAAACGCATTGGTAAAACAGCTCTACTTAGGTTCTCTACAAATGTTGGTCCTGAAGGCGGGCAGGCTCTAAGCCAGATTGCCATTGTTTGTGGTTATGGCGCTTCACCTCTCTGTGCCTCCCTACTGTCAGCGACAAAAAGGGGACAATAATAGTAGCTATCTCCTAGAGCTGTCATGAAGATTAAATAAGCTAGTAAACATCAAGGTCTTTGAGAATGGCTTTCATGCAAGTATCCAAAAGTGTCACCTGCTACTAAATACTATGAATTAGCAGGGCCAAGACACCTCTCAGACAGAAACCAGGGTTTTAATAAAGGAAAATGTGGAACCAAGGAAATCTTTACTGAAATCCTTCAGAGTAAGGAAGGATAAAAAGGAAGAAGCTGATATACAGTCAGCCCTACTTATCCAAGGGTTCCATATCTGGGGATTCGACTAATAGTGGATTGAAACCATACAGAAAAAAACAACACTACAAATAAAAAGATACAGTATAACAACTATTTATGTTGCATTTACATTGTATTAGGTATTATAAGTAATCTAGAGATATTTTAAAGTATATAGGAGGATGTACACAGGCTATATGTAAATATGCCATTTTATAGAAGGAATCTGAGTGGCTGGCCGTGTGGCTTACACCGTGTGATCCCAGCACTCTGGGAGTCTGAGGTGGGAGAATTGCTTGAGGACAGGAATTCAAGACTAGCCTGGGCAACACAGCTAGACTCTGTCTCTATAAAAAATAAGAAAAATTAGCTGGGCATGGAGGTGGGTGCCTGTAGTCCCAGCTACTCGGGAGGCTAAGGCAAGATGATCGCTTGAGTTAGGAGTTTGAGGCTGCAGTGAGCTATACTGGTGCCACTGCACTCTAGCCTGAGCAACAGAGTGAGACCCTGTCTCTAAGAAAAAAAAATGTGGAAAACAACCCAGAGTGGAAGAAGGTATTTGTACCATATATATCCAATGAGAAGCACCTGGGGATTTTGGTATCATTCCCTCACAGATGTTGAGGGATGAATGCATTTGTGAGGGTGCTTCTTATGCTTGCAACAATTGGCATTAGGGTAGAGGCCAGGCAGATGAGATTTTTGGCAATGAGAGGACAGGCCTAAACAAAAGGACTTGTTCCACCATCACACAGGACTTTCTGATGTCTCTCTCTACTTTATATAAGTAAAACAACATCAACAATTCTGCCAACTGAACATAGAATAAATGGTTTCACAGATTAATACAAATGATAGTTTATCAGACATCGAACTTTCCAGAATAGCAACTACTGTGTATACTGATAAATTTATTTCATATAAAATTTACCAAGATTTTTCTCACCATTTTAGCAAATCACATCACTAAGACCAATGAAATACATTATCAGTTGTGGCTGTGGGGCCTGCATTTGTAGCTGTGGTATTCACGGTGAGTCCATAAACAGTGCAAGCACCGGACTATATTACCACGTCCCCCAGTACACTCAGACCTTAGTGTTTTATGCATACAAGCATAATGTTACCAAAAATTACTTTCCTTTTACTTTTCCTGTATATAGGTCTCCTAACACAAGTATCCTTACACTGGCATATTTTGAAAGCAGTACGTCATTCTATTACCTATGTATTTTATTTCGGGATTAGTAAATGAGACATTAAAAATTTTATATAAATGGAGGGCTGGGTTTGATTAGGATTGAAGGACACTCGTGTTTTTCTTTTTCTTTTTCTTTTTTTTTTTTTGAGAAGGGTCTCACTTTGTTGCCTAGGCATAAGGGCAGTGGTGTAATCTCAAACTCCTGGGCTCGAGTGATCTTCCTGCCTCAGCCTCTGGAGTAGCTGAGACTACAGACATACACCACCATTATTGGCTAATTTTTTCTATTTTTTGTAGAGATGGAGGTTTTGCTATGTTGCTCAGGCTAGTGTTGAACTCCTGGCTTCAAGTGATCCTCCTGCCTTGGCCTCCCAAAGTACTAGGATTACATGCATGAGCCACTGTACCTGGCCTTGAAGAACACTGTTTCAAAGCTGTTCTGAGGCAGCTATTCTCCAACACTTTATTTTCAGGACAGTTTTACACTTTTAAAAATGACTGAGGACTCCAAGAGTTTTTGTTTATTTGGAATATATCTACCAATATTTATATTATTAGAAATTAAAATAGACAAACATATGTATAAATTCACTCAGAAATATTAACAAACCCAGCACGTTTAAGAAAAATACCTATTTTTTCCAAAACAAACGAACAAAAACCAAAAGAAGAGTATCTTTTACAGTTATGTAAATCTCTTTTTATGTCAGGCTTAATAGGAAGCAGCATATTCTCTTATTTGCTCCTATAGTTTGTTGTGATGTGCTGTGTTGCTGCAGTAGCTAAAGAAAATCTAGCCTCGGGAGGTGGGGATGGACATACATACATAATGAGTGGGATGCCACCATCTGGGGGATGGACATGCTTGAAGCTCTGACTCGAGGGGAGTGGTAAGGGCAATATACGTAACCTGAACAATTGTGCCCCCATAATATGCTGAAATAAAAAAAAAAGAAAAAAGAAAATCTAGCCTTACACAGCCATGTAACTAAAGAAGGGAAAGGTATTTTGATAATTTTTAGGGCACAGTTGAGGATATTGTTATTGGATACTACTCTAAAACTCAACATGAGGTAGTTACATTTTTTTTTTTTTGAGACAGAGTCTCACTCTGTTGCCCAGGCTACAGTGCTGTGGGTGTCAGCCTCACTCACAGCAACCTCAAACTCTTGGGCTCAAGCAATCTTTCTGCCTCAGCCTCCTGAGTAGCTGGGACCACAAGCATGTACCACCATGCCCAGCTAATTTTTTCTGTATATTTTTAGTTGTCTAGCTAATTTCTTTCTATTTTTGGTAGAGACAGGGTCTTGCTCTTGCTCTTGCTCAGGCTGGTCTCAAACTCCTGAGCTCAAATGGCTTGGACTCCCAGAGTGCTAGAATTACAGGCATGAGCCACTGTGCCCAGCTGAGGTAGTTTCTTAAAGGTGAGTTGCAATGTGGAATTTGAGACCATATCCGTATCTGTTACATTTAAAATCCATTACTTATGTACAATTGAGAAGGCACCAGTAAAAGAGCTAAACGTGAGTGGGCAGGCAAGGCTTAAGGATGCTGCCGGCAGATCTTTCTAAGGCAACAAAAGGAAATACAGTGTGTTTTTTCCCCCTCATACAAACCCAGCCACTAGCCAGAATAAGAAAAAGGCAAAAAAAGTATACAAAGTTCTCAACAAAACAAAAGGAATATGGTCAAGTAGAAATAGGCTCAGTTTTAAATAAAGCAAAATATAAAGTGTCCGTGGTATAGTTTGATGTTTTAATCCACATTTGATTAGGAAGATTTCTGACAACCAACAAAGAAATAACCTCCCTCAAGTAGGCAGCCCATTTAGTCTCATGATGTAGAGGAGGGGAAGGGAGGAAGAAAAGGAAGAGCATTTTAAGATGACATCTGATCCAATTGCTCATAGCTTAAAACAGCCTCTACTTGCCATGCAAATTCAGATCATGAGTGTACATGAGGCTAATATGCAGAGGAGGCGCAAATAAGAAACCTTACGCTGGGGTTGTAACTATTACTCTTAAATAACCTGATGTTGGAGTTTCTTCTCATAGAAAATAGCTGCCTACATCATAAATCTCAAGTTAGCAGCATAACCCCAAAGTTGGGGTGGGCACACAGCTACCTTAGGTGGCGCTTCATCAGACCCTCCAGAGTCCCAGGACACTGTGGCCTGTCTTCGGGACTCCATCCTCATCCGCTCTTCTTGTTGAGCCTTCTCTTCCTCCAGGATCGTGCTAGAGAGACAACACATGGTTTTAAGGGGAGCTGACAACCAGAGTTAGCCTTCAGACCCCACCCTGACTTATCTAAGGAACCCCAGCTGGCTAACAGACGATAACAATAAAGAAAGGATCCTATGCACAGGGGGAAAGAAGGATCAGATTTCTAAATCTTCACAAAATGACTTTTAGAACAGCCTTGATCTGAATGGGCAAGTCCATTTAAAGCATAGCCATAGGTGAAAAAAAGACAGCTGTTGAGAAAAAGAGAAGCTGGAGAAAATGAAGGATGAGCCAAGATGAAACGTTTGTATGCCAAAGTTTATTCTGAGCAGAAAAGAATCACCCTTAGAAATCCCAAGCAGTACTTTATCAAGCATATACATGTCTGAGGATGGAATCTTTACATGAACACAAGCTCCCACATAATGTGATCACACCAGCACATTATGTACCCAATTAGCAATCTGGCCAATAATCTCCCTAGATTGCTCTATACAATTTCCTAACTTTCAGTTTAACCAGTGCTTTCTATGATCAGAAAAAAAAAAGGAAAAATGTAACAGACTTTACATGTGTTTCTGAAAATACCATTTGCTTTAAATTGGAAACCCCGCAATTAGTAACGCTGCTACTTACCACTGCTTGACCACTCAGAAGCTATCTGAAGTCCCACATAATGCTGTAGCCTCCGCAGTAACTGCTAGGCGGCTTCTTCACCTTGGCTATTTGCCATCACATAAATCTCTCAGGATACAGCTAAAGCAAAACTGCGCTAGCTTCCCGTTCTACATGGATTCCCTAGGGCTCAGTGGGTGGCAGGTCTTTGAAACCTTCATACTAACTGTGGCAAACAGCTCTTTCCTATATGCCTGCAACTCTACAGTTCTAATAATGAAGCTCATTCAAAGTTTCTGGCCTCCTGGTAGATCGAATGCAGTAAATAACCACCCAGAATTACTCAGGAAAGAGTGACATCAGCTATACCAGACTCTTTTCTAATCTTGGAATTTGCTCAACTGTTTAAAAAGACATTCCTCCTTGGCTGGAGGCTACAGTGTGCTGTTTCTCACACAACCCAACTCACGGAGTCACCTTTTGAATCAGGAAAAGAGACAAAATTCATTTCATAACTGCCCTGAGTCAGCAAACCATCATTACAGATGTTAGGACTTATTTTTCCTCCCCCAAAGGAAAGAGAATGTCCTCCTCAAAGAAATGATCACATTAGCACTTTTACATAAAAGCTTTTAGTCAATGGATCCCACCCTCTCCCCAAAATATGATTTTGGTTTCCCTCTTGCTCCAGTCAGATGATTGTGGCTGAGCAAACAAACACTACAAAACTTTTAGCAGTATTTAAGACTTTTGCAGCAGCCTCCAAAGACTGACAAGATGCTTGCTTGGTGCTAGCACTGTTGGGAATCTGGCCCTGTGTGGCAGGCCTACGTAAGCCAGGTGAGCCGGGAAGGTGGAAGTCCAGGGCCACGTCTAGGGAAGGAGTCTGGGAGTACTGAAAGGGTCCTGCTGCTGCTGGGCAGACTCCAGCAGGTAGGCGACTCTCTGCCCTACTTCTCTAATCAGAAGAGCGCTCCCCTTAGACTGCTGAGCGATGAAAGGAGATCATAGCTGTGAAAACATCTGCTATAAGCCTTAGTTATCACCAGCAGGTATTCCTAACAGGGCATTTGCTCAAGGGCTGCTCATTTAGCTACTAACTTTCTACTCTGTACAAGAAACAGGTGATAAGGTCTTTGAGGTGCTTTTGTCCATGAGAAAAGAAAGCCTCAAACCCTGAAACAGGACATAAATGTTGTGACTAAGCAGGAGAGAAGAGCTCAGCCTGGGGCATTTTGGCTGTAGGACCAGCCATGGGCACTGTCCCAGGCACTGGGAGAGGTTAGGGAAGAAGAGCCCCAGCAGGCTTCAGCTACAAACCCAGTCTAAGTGCACAAGTGCTACAGGACTGAAGCATAGCAATGTCTTCTGTTCATTTCTCACATGGAAACAAATACCTTTATGTTTTAACTTTATGTATTTAAATTTATGACAACCTTTGTTATACTTAGAATGCAATAGTACCTGGCACATTTTACACTTAAATATTTACTAAATGAACAAACACTGCAATATAAAGATAAAATACACATATTATCATGACCCATTAGACATGTAAGTTAGCTAAGCAAATTCAGAGTTCATCAACAATGAACAAACTGAATAGGAAAACAGCAAGACACAGAGTAAGAAGCTTGGGGTTTGAGTCACACTGAGTTCAGATTTAAGTTCTGCCACAGACAGGTTATATGACCATGGACAACCCTATTCCTCTAAGCTTCACCCACAAAATGGGGTGCTTCCCTAACGGTAGTTAGGGTTGAAGGGTTATTGTGACAATCAAAAGCAAAATTAGGCAATCTATGTGAAGAGCTCTGAAATCCAAGAAGCTTTTAAAAATGGAAAGAACTACTACAAATTCCTCATCAAATAATATCCCATGTAGCTAATGGCTACCATTCTCACAAGGGGCTGCAAGTATTTAAAATGAGTTAAAAATCAATTAGAGTTTGAGGTACAAAAGAGCAACCATGTCTTTTCACAAATCCACCCAATCAGTCATTGCAGTATTACTGATACAACAATTACGACTTTCCATCAATTAAAGCAACAGATCAAGAATATGCTGACTAAAATATCGTCATTGATATACAATGCCTTTGGACTTGACGAATATAAAGAAGTTACAACTGTAGGCAACAGGAGATATAGCTTCACCAAGTCCTGATCACTTACCAATGGGAACACTGGGAGATACACCTTAAGTTTTTAGACTACAAAATAGCAATAAATCCATACCTCAAAAAGCTGCTCACAGAGTAAAAATATGTGTATTTTTAGAGTTGGTGCGTGTGCACACATGTGAGTTAACTATCATTGTCTTTACAAGTAAAGTGACTCATATTCCTTTGCTTTCCTTCCTCCTCAGCTATCACCCTTCTTCCTCCATGCCCAGATATGTTCTCCAAATCCACCATGCTCTGGCCAACTCCTACCTATAACTCAAGTGTCAAATAGTAGTTCCTCCAGAATATTTTCCCTGAAGCTCCCTCCTCCCTTCAGGCTGAGTTGCATTATACTCCCATTTGTTCCCAAATCAACTAGAGCCTAACTTGCCTTCTTTTTTTGAGACAGAGTCTTGCTCTGTCACCCAGGCTGGAATGCAGTGGCACCATGACAACTCAATATAACCTCGAACTCCTGAGCTCAAGTGATCCTCCTGCCTTGGCCTCCCGAGTACCTAGGATTATAGATGCATACCACAACACTGGCTTTTTATTTTTGGTGGAGACAGTGTCTCACAATGTTGCCCAGGCTATTTTTGAACTCCTAGACTCAAGCAATCCTCCCACCTTGGTCTCCAAAAGGGCTGGGATAATTCTTGTCAAAAGGCATCATAGGCCAGGCGCAGTGGCTCACGCCTATGATCCTAGCACTCTGGGTGGCTGAGGCAGGAGGATCACTTGAGCTCAGGAGTTCGAGACCAGCCTGAGCAAGAGCGAGACTCCGTCTCTACTAAAAATAGAAAGAAATTGGCCAAACAACTAAAAATAGAAAACATTAACTAGGCATGGTGGCCTGTCCCTGTAGTCCCAGCTCCCCAGGAGGCTGAGGTAGGAGGATCCTTTGAGCCCAGGAGTTTGAGATTGCTGTGAGCTAGGCTGACGCCACAGCATTCTAGCCAGGGCAACAGAGTGACACTCTGTAAAAAAAAAAAAAAAAAAAAAAAAAAGGGAAAGAAAAGGAAAGGAAAAGGAAAGACATTATAAATATAAATAATCTGCTTGACCTTTTGCTCCTACTAGATGAAGAGTTGTTACTTGAAGCCCCATTTGCACACATCCAGAATTAGCACAGACCTAGACTTACGGCATGCATTAAAAAATGACAGGTGAATGAGTGAGTGAGGCCATCAGTAGAGTAAATCCACTGACTAAATCCACTGAAGAAGAGAACATTACCAAGCTTCCTGTTCTCTCAACTCAAATTAGAAAGGACTGTGGCTGCTTTCTTCGAGATGGCCAGGGGGAGTAGGAGCTCAGTCACAGACTGGGGGCAAAGAACGCCTACCTGGCCTAAGAGAGGAGCACATCCCTGGTTAGTTTTTCAGCACCCTGATCTCAATCACCTGACCCTTAAAATAAACAACAGAACTTGAACCAGAATTTCCTAAAATTTTTGGGTTTAAACAAGTAAAAGTCCCATAAAAATCAAGGAAAAAAATCAAGAAAGTTATCCTTCCTTCTATTCCTTCAAATAATTAAGATACAGGCAAACTATGAGAAGGCTAGGCCGGACTTTGTTTTAAATAGGTCCCATCAGACAATTTTATTTCACATGCATTGCTCTGTGAAATGGGACACCCTGATCTTAAGAGTTGCTATTCTCTCCAGAATCTCCAAACAGGTTATGAGCAGTCTCTTGCCATAAGGAGACCCTCTCAGGCTCCATATGCCCTGATTTTTCCACCAGCATTCACTTCCTCTCTTCTCTGACCCACTGAATTTGCCATGTGAATTCTGAATTTCAGCCCTTAATCATGTTCTGCCATGTTGTGGGATTTAGGCTATGAGATTCACACAGTTGTCAGACATGGATCCAGTTTCTCTTGTCAGCTAGACAGCATTTGCATATTACAGACACTTTAACATTTCTTTCATTAAACATGCCAGTCTTGTTCCTCAAAGAACATAATGACAACTAGGATGCAAATTCCTTCAATCTCAGTACTTCATTCTCATACCAAAAATAGCATGTAAAAATGCTGCATACCATAATTTGTTGCTCAAAGCAACCAAGAATATAAATAACTCATAAAAAAAGAAATCTGTTTTTACAATGGGAAGACTAGTCCATAGATGGAGTAAGAGGGCACAAGGAGACATCACTGAGCTTTTCTCTTTACAGCTGCTGAAGAACCCAGAGCAACAAACCAGAATGTGCAGAGTGTCACGGAG